TCCACTAAGAGACACTCGCTTTCCTTATTCCATATCTTTTTTTAGTGTTGACCCTTTGCTGAGTACCCTATGGAGAACAGTAGGCTTATATTTCTGCATTTCTTTTTTTATATGCAGTCATTGTTTGCCTAGTAACCAATGTCCAACACCTAGCTCCTCGTTCTTGCCTCGCTCCATTACAGGAAGGCCACAGTTGGTGTCAGCTCTCACGGGATCCATGCCCTTACTGTGACCGGCCAGGAGAAGAGTGACAAGGTGGACTACCACAAGACTTTGGTCCGCAAGGTCGAGAGCTAGGGGTACCATTGGTATGGTTGAGGATATATCTCACCATTTAGCATTGTCTGATGAAGAGGATGGTGCTGATGGCTGCCCTAACTAGACATTGCACCGCATCTTTAGCAACAGAGTTAGTTGCTATTACACTGACGGGTACAACCTCGATGACAATTACGATGCGAAGACGAATCCTCGGTGATGGATGTGGCGAGGAGCAGCCATGAGGCTGAGGTGTTTTGCATTCAACATGGACAATGATATCGACCAAGCTGCCGAAATGTTCATCAAAATATTCCCTGAGAAGACCAACACAAGTTGGATGTTTTGACACATATTGGTGTATTTGGTGTGTGTGTGTGTGTGTGTGTGTGTGTGTGTGTGTGTGTGTGTGTGTTTTGAACAGGAGGAAAAAAACCCGGCCTCTGCATCAATCGATGCATGCAGCCATCTTATTAAAAAAGTAACAAAGTCTTAGGGTCACAAGATGCCCATAATCATAGTGTAAAAACGAAAGAAAACATAAAAAAGGTGCCACATCCGGCAATACAGAGCAGGCTATGATGCCTAAACACCTAGCCTATTATCAGCTCGTCATCCAAATCAGCTGAAGATAGCCCGTGCTACCGTCTCCTAACGGTTGCACCCAATAACCAAAATCTCCCTGGACTCCGCATGAGTGAGTAATGACCACATACGGATCCACGATGTAGCTCTGTAGATAACCTGCAAAAATTTCGTGAAGTTTGTCCCATTAAAAGTCAAATCATTTCTAGTATTCCATATCACCCAAAGTAGTGCACATATCCCTATCCGAATATGTCGTTGTGTATATGTCCATTCTATTGAGCCACGTCCCAAATAACGTGTTTATGCTCGTTGGGGGATGGACGTTAAACGCTATAGGTATTGAGCGTCATAATATTTTTGCAAAAGGACACTAGAGAAAGAGGTGTTTAATCATTTCATCACCATTGGTGTTTCATCACCATTGAAAGAGCGCCATAATAGTCCCAAATAACATGTTTATGCTCGTTGGGTGTGTGTTTATGTCTTAGAAAATACTTAAATGAATTTTTTGGATTACGAATCTTTTTATAAATGGTTTGATCTAGATTCAACAGATCTTGACTTCCCCACCTACTAAGTAAAATCACCATTGATAGGATATATGCCTCTAGCAAAGTCCTATCACCCTGCACCTCTACATCCCTACTTCGCTTAGCTAGCCAGCTACCTCTAACCCTCTGCAACACACAACCAAAGCTTCGCAATATCTCTGTTCCAGAGTTCCCTTTGTCTGACCAGGCCACCTCCGTTGGTCACAATTCTTGGAGGGTCTGACCCGGTGCATTGTTCAGGTATGTGATAAGGCTCGACTCTCCTGCCCCTTGGTACCTCTAAAATTGGGGGCTCTTGTTAACCCAAAATCGTAAAACAAAATTAATTAGTTGTCCATTGTGGTGGAGTGGAGCAACCCCCCTCCCACCAAGTACCTGTGCCCGTGGAGGAATCTGAATAAAGCTAGAGTGCAGGTTGATTATGATTCAATAAAGGTTCTTATTTGTAAATATGGCAGAGCTAAAGAGATTTTTGCCATCTCTTCTCAATCCAGTGGCAAGGGTGCACCCAACACACTAGATACGCTCTCCCCTGATCAATGTTAATTGGAACCCTATGTACTACATAGTTCTCTTTGGGCCTCCTACCCATGAACTATTTTAGTAACAAACTGCCTAGTCTGACTAGTTTGCGGCTACTTCCCTCCTTGATATTACCAGGTTTTTGTATATGTGATTAATAGGAAGGGCTTTAGCAATGATTTTTTACGTATATTCAAGCAGATCTGATGGTAGTGAGGGGTGGATCCAGGGTTCCATATAGTTATACTAGACATTATTCGGTAGGTGTAGGCACAACTAGGACGCGAGGGCTCATTTCTTGATGAACTTAATGAGGAGCTAGATATGAATATCACGAGCTAAATCCATTAGGGTGTGCGAAAACTTATATTTTGGAAGAGCTAAACGGTTCATTTCTTTCTGAACTCCAAAACGGCAATTAACTGAGCAATTTCATAGTGGACCAAGGACCAAACGACCCGATTAAGAAGGTTGAGATAATTAGCACCCCTCATGTGTGCCAAGAATCACCACTCCAATGCACTCAATTGTGCACAAAATATCACCGCGGTTCAACGCGCTCAACGGTGCACTAACTCCATATATGCAGACTCACTCTCCAGGAAAAGGCGACCATGGGTAGGCAGTTACTCCTCTTAGTGAAAGGCGGCGAGGTTGTCGTTTCCTCCTCCTCTACTCATCGCTCCAGTGGCAGGTGGAGGAGGGGGGGTCCTGTTTCTTTCCTATGCTTTTTTTATGGGTGGACTTAGTCTTTGGTGTGGTGGCGCATGAGGGATGAGGATGAAACCACGTCGAATAAAGTTGCCTCGACGACGCTCTTCATGGCGGTGTCGAGAAGCCAATGGCGCCATCTTCTAAACATTAGGTCAGGGTGGCGAGATTAGGTCTTCTTTTCGTTGTTGTTTTTGAGGTGGTGTCAGATGAGAAGAGTTGGATTTTCAAAAGCAGGATTGGTGGTTCGACGACTGCAGGTTTGGCGTCCTTCCCCAACTATGCTGATGGAATGCGGCAGATTCGGTTCTAGGTTAGCACTTAGCACAGTGACATGTGCCTTGTTGCTTGCAGGGGGCATGTACGTCGCCTCAGAAAGCCTTTAATGTGATGGTGATCCCCAGGATTGGGCGATGGTAGAGGTTGTGCTTATTCTCTAGTGAGCGCCTCGATAGCATTGGATACTGTCTGCAACCCTTAATTTCGGTGTGTGCAGGGATCCCTATAGACCTTCCAGTATTTTCTTATGTCTTGGGGTCCTCCCTACATAATTTTCATGACATCTGTCAACTTCTAGTTTCTCTATCATCAGTTGCCGCTAGTGTTTGTCATGTAATCCATCTGATTGTTGATGAATGATACACGCAGTTTATTCCAAAACAGAAACTCCATATATGCATGTTTGAAAAAAGAAACATATATGCATGGGACTTGATGTCGCAGTACGCTCTCGACAAGCGCGTGCCGTGTGGGATACTGAGACTACGTACTCCCAAGTCTTCAACTCCATAATGGTAGTGTGACTTTTGACCGCATGAGACAGAGAGAAAAGAAAGGAAGCTCCCATCGATCTATCACGAAGATTGCTTCTACTTTTGTACTACGAGCGAGTAGCAAAGCACACGGCCGGAGGAAAAGCAAAGCAAAGCAAAGCAGATCTCACGTATAGACACACGCCCACACAAAGCAGCGGAGAAAAGAAGGGAAAAAACAGAGACGCGCTATAGCTGCAACCTTTGGAATTATGGGCATGAATTACACGGCGGGAGACCGGTAAGGAAAGCTGCCCGATCTGGTTGCTTTGAGTAAAACTATTCTAAGCCATCAATCAGCTAGTTTTGCCACTTGAGTAAAGGAGAGATATTGGCAGTCTGGGACAGGAGCCTTTTGTGACTGAATGGAACATATACTTTCCCATTGTCCACTGTCAACATTCTTTTAGTGCTCACTCCACATGTCAATTTTCTTTTCTCTAATGCTAGCTGCTTTCACATGCTTTATTAGGCGAGGTACCAAAAATTTGATTGGGACATAAGCAAGGCTAGTTGCAATGTTAATTGCATGCTCAGCTTCCAACTATAAATACACCATTCGAGCCTCGGGACAAAGTCCATGCCTCATTTCAAGCAAGCTTCTCTCATCTCTGTATCCCAGTAACCTATCTCATTCCAATTTCCAAGCTTGGGGAACCGCAGCTTCTTCCTCATTTCCATTCGTAAGCAGCTCGACCACCTCAACCAAAGATGAAGATCGGGAAGGCTCCTGAACTCGTGAAGAAGGCAGCAGCGATGTGCAAGAGCAAGACTGGGGTGCTCGCT